GGGCTAGGTGCTGGGTGCTGGGTTAGGACCTGGGCACTGGGCTAGGTGCTGGGTGCTGGGTTAGTACCTGGGCACTGGGCTAGGTGCTGGCACTGGGCTAGGTGCTGGCACTGGGCTTGGTGCGCTCCCTGCCCCGCCACCCCAGCCCCGGCCCCCCACGCCCCACCCCGACCGGCCGGGGCCGTCCCGCGCCTTCCGCGGCACCGCTCCCAAGGGGCTGACTCAGCGCGGAAACTCCTCGTGGGCGGCCTCGCGGGGGCCACGGCGCAGAGACGTCAGCGCGGGGGCGGCGGGCGGGGGATTCCGCGGGCTCCGGGCGGGGTCTGGGGGGGTCTGGGGGGTCTGGGGTCCCCTCCCCTCCCGGCCCTGCCCGCGCGGTTCTCCTGGAGCGCGGCCCTCGGCCTGGCAGGGACCCAGCGCGCGCGGAGCCCGGGACGGGGGAGGGAGGCGGCGGCGCTGCGGGGGAACCTCGGGGTGGGGGGAGGGGGGAGCCGAGCCGGGCTGGGGTCGCCCCTGCGAGGCTCAGCCGCCGCCCCTCCCGCCCGGGGCGCAGTGGTCTGGGCTTCCTGGGGGTGCCCCCTCTCTGCTCCCCCTGGAAGCGGGACCCGCAGCCTCAGGGCAGCCTCCACCTGCTCCGGAAAACCGCAGCCGCCCCGCCTCTCCCCGGACTTTTCCGTGCCCAACCCTAACCCCTGTTCTCAGAAGCGCTTCTGCGGCAGCCCCGCCTCCCCTCCCTCCCGCCCCAGCCGCCCCACCCCTCCCTGCTGGAAGAGCCCCCTCCCCACTTTCCACTGACATCTGGACTTGGTCACGTGGGACCCCCCAAGCTGACAGACAGCTATTGGGGGGGCCCTTGACCTATGGCAGTGTCCACAGCCAGACACCCCTTCCCAGCCCAGCCCTAGGACAGGTGGGGGGTCCTTGAGGGCCGGGTGGCCCCAGCCGCCCCAGCTGCATGGTCTCTGCCCACTGACCAGGACCTGCTTCATGACTGTGGTCCCCTCCCGGTGCTGGGCCGAGCCCTGAGGACGTACGGATGGGATGGAAGGGGCTTTGCTCCTCTGGCCAGTGACCCTCAGGGAGGTTAGGGGTGCCTGGCCTCGGGGAGGAGGCGGACATCGGCCTCCCACAAAGCTCGTCTTCCCTGGCGGCTCCAGGAATTGAGATCTTTCCGGAGTTGGTGATTCAGGCCAGGGATTGTCCGCGTCCCGTCTTAAAGATACACCTGGGGAGGGGAGAGAGGCCGGAGGGGGTGCCATGGACGTGCAAGCCTGGAGTCCTCAGGGATCATCCATCTTTAGCAGAAAGACACGTGGCCGCCTACAGACCCTCAGCTGACCCCAGGGCCCGGCTGCTGCTGAGGGTCTGTGCTGGCTGGACGCCACGGTGGAGGCCGCGGGGATGGTGCATGTGTGGCTGTGCCTAGGTGCAAGTGGGAGGAGACTGGGCATCGGAGGGCATCGGGCGCCTCCACCTTGGGTCCCAGGCTCCAGCCTGGCGCCGTCTCCGGGAAGCCCCTCTGACCTCCCTGAGCGCCTCTTGTCCCCGAGGGGTCCTGACGCCTTTGCTGTGGCCCTGGCTGCCACTTCAGTTGAATGTCAGGGAGCACCTGTACTGCCAGATGCTCGGGCACCCACAGTTCCCGCTCCCTGGTGGCCTCTCCTGCTTCACCCCTCCCACGCCTTGGTGGGCTGCAGATTAGGCTGCTGCTGCCCTTGGCCCTCCGGAGGGTCCAGCAGACCTGCCAGGAAGGGACTGGGGGCCCTGGGCTGCCATCTCAGTGACAGGTGTGTTCCCAGCATCTCACCGGGGACCCCACACTTGCTGGGAGGGGACTGGGCCCTGGGCTGCCATCTCAGTGACAGGTGTGTTCC